TTATTTGCGAAAAGCGGATTGTTTTCTTCCGTAGCTGCTCTAGATTTCTCTGAAAACATGTTGCAGCAATGCTATGAGTTCACTAAGCAGGAGGAGAATTTTCCAAAAGGGTACACAGTTTATATTTATAACTATTCAGAGTCCATACCATTTACCTGTGAATTAACGGATTACCCATTTTTGAGGGACCACTTCTTAATTAAATCTTTCATTTTTATTTCAGTCATATCTCATTAATATTTTGTTTTTAGGAACTTCATCTTGATCAGAGCGGATATATCTAGGCTTCCCTTTGTTTCTAGTTCTGTTGATGCTGTGCACGCTGGTGCAGCTATTCACTGTTGGCCTTCACCATCAGCAGCTGTAAGATAACTATTCCTTAGAACATCATAGGAAAGGGTCTCACTTGTTCAGGATATACTTGCTATCTGATTTAAAAAGGGGATTTCTCCTGGAGGAGTAATTGCAACATTTTAGATATAAACAACATGTCAGTTTGTTTGACACTTGTAATAGCTGATGCGCGGGCCATGCAGCCTGTATCTATACACCCCACTTACAGCATGATTTTGGTAATCCATTTTTCAGGTGGCTGAAATTAGTCGAGTTTTGCGACCTGGAGGGGTCTTTGTTGCAACTACTTATATACTCGACGGCCCTTTTTCTTTTGTCCCATTTTTACGTGAACTACGTCAGGTATATATTTGTTTACCTTGGGGCAATTAACTGTGTTTCAAACCCAACAAATTTTACATGTCCCATCATAATTGATAAACTGGGTGTGAACGATGTACTTGAATATGTTCTGTTGTTTTTGTAGCATTTTCATACTCTCGATCCTCTGACTTTTTTCTTCTGGTCCTATGCATCCGTTTATTTAGATGCTCTGCAGCTTCCTTCTGATCTTGTACATGGTTGTGAATCATAAGTTTATATCCCTATAAAGAGAAGACGATGCGTTAACGTGTTTTGGTTTTGATATAGAATGTTATTATGGGATATCAGATTTGACGAGGCAATGTGTTTCTTGTTGTAGAATATAAGGCAAGTATCAGGCAGCTTCATCACTCTGTCTGAACGTGAACTTGAAGATCTCTGCACAGGGTGTGGGCTGGTCAGATTTTCGTGCATAAGAAATGGGCCTTTTGTGATGTTCTCTGCTGCAAAACCCAACTAAGGGGTGAGTTTCCTGGGTTCTCTCAGCCCTGCCTTCTCATCGTATTGTGCTGAAGATGTTTTTACTTTGTAGGTATGATGGCATGATCAATGTCTCCTACTCTTGAGAAGATATGATACATCAGACAGGTATCTGTCAGGAGAGAAAAGCGCCCTCTAGAAATGTTTAAAACACTTGGTCTGTAAAGAAAGGATTAGGTTACGTTTTCTTTGGCTCTTCAACACTTTGTCAGAGACGCTGAAACAAGATTCAACATTCAAGAGATATTTCTTTCTTCTTCTTCTTCTGTAAAACACAACGTGCTGAATCCTAGAAACTGACGGACGAAGGGTACATGGGGAGGGACTGGAGCTCCTTGACATAAAAAAGAAGCAGTGCTCTCACTTCACACGGGGCCTCTTCATAATTGCGTGTAATGAGCTTCACACTCCACTCATTATGTATTCCTCCGAGTTGTAAAGGCGGATACTGAGCTTCACACTCCACTCGTAGTTTACGTATTCCTGAGTTAGAGAGAAATATATAAAACCGGACACTATATAGCATGACGTGGTTTTTAACGGTGAACAAAAATCTGGTTTAGACCGACCGGTTCAACTGGTAAACCAGTGAATCAATCAAGGGACCGGTTTGGTTTGGATACTAAATCAGGAGGGAGTTGAACCGGTAGAGAACCGGTCAAACCGGTGTAAACTGGTGAAAACCGGTAATAAACTGGTTTGAATGATTAGGTTGTTATTAGTCCTATCTTTTCTCATGCAGCTCCTAATTTATCAGCCCCTATAGATTTAAATAAATTTTAATGATAATTTTGGTAATAATAATTATTAATTTTAATTAATGATGAATCATAAAGATCAAAATTATCAATATTGTTATACTTTGTGATTATTACAATCAAATTATTGTCATATTTTCTTATATTTTGTTATTAGTGATTGTTAATGTTGCTATACTTTGTTATTTTAATTATATTATATTATTTTAATATAATGGGTGGGACCCCGAGTTGATCTGGTCCGACTAACTGACTCTTAAACTACTACCTCAACCGGTTTAATATCTGGTCCAGTTTTTTGTTTCTTAGTTTTTAAAGCAAATTTTTAATACACACATATATAACTATTTGAAAATTTGGTTTTTTTTCCACTGTGTTCTGAATTTTTTTAAAAAAAATTTTTCCCTTTTTAATCAAAGTTCTGGAATGTCTTTTTAATGGAAGGTTACCTTTTGTTTTACAAAATTAGAAAAATGGCGGAGAATATTCTTTCACTCTTCTCATCACTTTACATATTTTTTCAGAACAATGACTCAGATAAATTATTTTATTTTTTTCAAACTTCGTTCTGAAAAATTAATTCATAAAATTATTTTAATAATATAAAAATGGGAAATAGAAGCAAATAAGTTTTAAATTCTACCTTTACTAATGTCAACGTAAATTGGTTCCTTTTGAAATAGATTTTTATTTACCAGAGAAATGATCCCGGGAAAATGGATGACGCGGAAAACTTCTAAGGCCCAAGTAGTTTCTTCTGTCATTGTGAAGATTCCAGGGACAGGGTTCGCAATTCGCACGTTTTTGTTCTAGTAGTTTTTGGGTCCTTAATGGGCCCACAGAACTATAATATAGAGTAAAACATTGACCCATTACTAATAACAGGCTCTTGAGAGACCCGTATTCTCCGATGCCATCTATATGATTTTCGCTGATGCCAATCCCAACCTCCTGCCCATCTGGTTTTGAACCATAATGTTGCTTGCACCACCCACCCTCCCTCTCCTTCCATCCTCTCCACTCATCGTCTTCCCTGCCACCATCCACCTCTGCGCATCACCACCGCCGGGGAAGCTGGCCGCCCTCTTCTTCCAAAATTGTGAATAATTACTTGAAGTTTCGTAAACTGATAATTAATAGGAAGAGAATTTGAGGATAAGAAAATACTGTACACTGCATTTAAAAATCTCCAGAGTGCTGGATGGGATTAATTTTGGGCCGAGAAAACAGGGCAGGGGAGGGTGTGGGGGAACAATACATCATTGGGAGTGGCCCACCCAAGGATTCACGTGTCGCCTTCCCTCCCAATCCGCTTCGTCGTTTACCGCCTTCATCATCATCTTTCAATTCTCTTTTGTTTTCTGCTTAGCGTATCATTATGTTTTAGATCTCTTTTTCTGCCCCTTTAATTTCTCCTGATTACCTTTTTTCCTGCTATCTCGGCGGGGAATCATATGCATCTACTAGCAGTACCTAATAATGTTCAATTATTCATCACTCCTTTCATTCAGTATATATTTTCTGGCGTCTCTATGATTTTGCGTTGCCTACCGCCTATCAAGTTTTTGTAAACAACAATCCATCATATGTCCCCCTTTCCATATATTAAAAAAATAAAAAGCATATCAAATTTTAATCTTTTGTTTTTTGTCTTGTCTCGTCAAACTCTTTCTCACTGCCTCACTCATCATTTTCTGCGAACTTGAGGCTTACTTCTTTTATCGGAGAGAATGCATGAATCGGGGATTGGGCCTCTCTGTTACGTTTGCGAGCACATACACGGGCATCAGGCTTCCTTTCTTGTTAATTCCCGATATCTATTTTCTCGTCCTGTGCGGAATATGATCGGCTGAGATATGCCAACAAGTCCCAGTCCAACAAATGATAGCCATTCCTCATCTATTAAGCGACTTCTTTGCTGTGCAATTACGTTGCTCATTGTCTAATTTGTCCGCTTCCTAAGTAACCTGTCTTAATTCTCCAGGAAAGTCCCTTTTATAGTGTGTGCAGTTTTATGGTTGAGAGATGGGTAATAAACAGTTTGCCACTAATCTTGCCACCATTTGCTCTGCAAGCAAACACAATTTCATTTTCCTCGGTGGGAAATACGTACGACAACCGAACCATGGATATCCCAAGTCAGAAGATCGTTAGTTCGTTACCAACTCCGAACGATAAATAGCGCCGAGGGTAGCGTCATCAGTCACTCCTCTCCTCCATTTCACTAAAACCAGCGTTTTGAAATACTTCTCTGTTAACACGGACGAATGAATGCTTAAAGATTATTAAAGGGTAGTTTAATATAACCCAGAAAAATAAGGGTAGCTTATATGGTAGAATATTATTACGTAAGATGGATTATTTAATAGTTTTCCTGGTTTATATACTTAGTCCTAAGGTAAAAATTTCTATGAACCAGATGACATGTGTGTGTGTGTGTGTGTATACCAGTTAAAAAACAACACACACCACACGTACACTAATTTCATGATAAATAATATCCGCACGCAGCTACATATATACTACTACTTTAAAACTAATATCTATAAACAAGAACTTGAATGAAGAATTGGCCGCACATAGGAGGAATACAGAGTTTGCACAGCGACCTGAGGACAGTGGCTCCAAATTGAACCCATCGTCAGACAAATTAAAGGGGTTGGCATGAATAAGGTAACAACTGCCAACAAAAACACCGACCACTCCTCCACGTCTTTCCCTCTAATCCATGTTCATCCATTTTCCAGCGGTCAGTGGCATCGCCAACCACCTGTTACATTCTCTTCCTTCTCAACATTACTCAGCCATCCGTACGCACCACCAACATTTTCTAGTATTCCCACGCTCCTAAACTGGGTTATATATATATATATATATATATATATGTATATATATCTTCAGAGCTTTCAAAACGGTTGTTCCAATTAAATCACTTAACTTCATGTCGTCGTAATCATATAATATCAGCAGTAATTACAAGGATGTAATCATTTATTTACTTCGCTTCTGCTATTATAAATTATATGCTAATGATGCGAACAGTCATGGATAAACTTCTCAATTAGTTGATGGTGGTGCATGAAAAACAAATTAGAAAATATCATCTGGTACTCAAGTGCTACATATAAATCAAAGGAGCAAATATATGTAAACGTGAGGAAGAGAAGAAAAAGAAAAAGCGAACATGTCACTGGAAATACAATTATTACAACAAACCATATATCACACCATCATGGCGATATCAATTCACTGCATCATTGATTCTAGTCGGTAATAATGCTGCATTAGGTGTGCAGGATTTCTAATCACAAGAACAAGTCCATGAATGAGGGGTGGGTCCGGCCATTTTCGAGTTGGAGGTGTTGAGCTGGAGGGCCTTGTGATAGTAAAAGATGCAGGACGAAGGCAGACACCGTAGCTGCTGGAAAGGGCATTCGATTGATCTCTTGTTCCTCCTCCGTTAGAAGTGGGAAGGCCACGAGTTAGTGGCATTGACCGGCCACTCAGAAAAGGGTGTTTCAACGGAGCATGGTTCATACCCAGATCCATAAGGTTGAGACTTTGAACTAAAACTCGTAGGAAGAGGGAGATGATGAGGTGTTTGGAAGGCGAAACCCAAATCAGAAAGGAGTTGATGAGAAGTTGGGGCATTATGAGTGGCGGCGGCAGGGGCTGTAGGATGAACCACGTTCTCAGCAGGGGCAATATTAACAGTGGCGTTGATATTAGCAGAAGATGATAAAGGTGATAAAAATGGATTTGGGGGGTCAAGGTACCGAGGGGAAGGTCGGAACGGGTGGAAGCGGCAAGAATGGGATGCGGCTGAAGACGGTGGAGCCGGGACACCGGTGAACTCTCGCACCATGAATCTAAAATTGGAGGTGTCGGTGGTGATAAAGGTAGTGGGAGCCCGCCTTGACGCTCTGCTTCGCTTCTTTGAGTTCCGCACTGCATTATTGTGCTCATGGGCTGTCTCTCTGCGACACCCTCCAACTAATGGATTACCGGCAAACAAAAATGATGACGATGAAGATGATAATGGTGGCTCTGGCGGGAGAGTGCAACTAGGCTCAGAATTCGGAATGGAGGCAGCTGGTAGAGATTGTGATGCAGCGTGGAGGTAATTATTAGGTGAAGGATCAAAGAAGTTGGGGTTTTGTTGATTAGAATGAGAAATAGGTGAAAAGAAGGAACCAAACGGGGTATTGGTACCATTCAAAGAGGCTGGACCAACTGTGTCATATTCAGCTCTCGAATCATATTCTTCCTCGCCGCTGGAGCACATGCTTGTAGTCTTGTAGTGAGCTAAAACAAAAGCAAGAATGGCAAGGGAATGAGACTATATTTTAGAAAACTGAGTGATAGAGAGAAGACTGGATGAGTGAATTTCCGATAAATTAAGAACCCGTCTACATACGAGTTAAACGGATATTGGAGGGAAAATTGTGCTACCCCAGCCTTTTGGAAAAGTAAAGACAGTTTAATTCTCTCAGGTGCTGAAATCTGCAGGAATTCAAATCTGTTCCTGAACTGACTCCCAGAGCTGAAGAGAACAGGTTTCTATAAAAAGAAAAGGTACGAGTGTCTAAAAATAGGCATATATCTCAACTGTGACGGAGGAAGAGGGATGTAACTGATAGGTGGAGAAGTTGGGGGAGGAATGAAGGGGTCTGGCTTGATGGGCGAATTAGGGTTTGCAGAAGAGAGAAGGAAGGAGGTGGGAGAAGGGGGGAGAGATTTTTTCGAGGCTCAGAAAAAGAGGCAATGAAGAGGCTGAAGGCAGAGAGGGCTGGTGGGGTCGCCGCTGCAGTGAGAAGAAGAGAGAGGGCTGCCGTGGGGGTGGCAACGGGTCAAACTCAAAGAAGAGAGAGAATGTGAGTTTAAGAGTTCACATGGACCAACGCCAAGAGAAGAGGAAGCGGCCCGCCTACCATGATGTGAGCAAGACCAATAGCGCCACCGCCATTCCGGCGCTTTACTTTCCACGTGTGCGGATTCGGCCTTTATGATTCAACTTTCGCAGAATGTGTGTGGGCGTGGCATGTTAGCCTTTTACTGTTTTCTTTTTCATTTTTTCTATCCCTAATCAATACAAAAAGTAGAGACAACTTGTAAGTGTCTCTTATATATAGGAACATGCCATAAGCATCAAATGTCTCTTATAATAAAGAACGGAGCGAGTATTCGTTACTACTTAATGCTTAATTAATTTTTTAAAAATATAAAAATTTTTTCTAACTCATATGTATTACGAAAAGCAACTATTAAATTTGTCACAAATTTTTAGTAATTCCTAATTCTAATATTATTTTTATTAACCACTCATCTGATCCTATTTATAAGTCATTTTCAACATGTTTCATACAAATCAAGAAAAATTTTAAATTTTATTAACTTTCTAGTTTAAAATTTAACAATTTTATCCTTATTTAATATATATTCCCATGTTAGAACAAAGTCAACACATACTAAATAAAGAGTTTTTTCTCTCTATTCTATAAATAGGAATAAAAAAAGTGTTTCTCTCTCTGCCTTATAAATAGGACGAGATGGGTATAGTTTTTCTTCTTTCTTAATATCCTTATTTTTAGGATTTATATCCAAAAAAAATATTTAATGCTTTTTAAGTTTATTAAAACGTCTTGCAAAAATAATCAATAACGTTTTCTAAGATTGGGTTGACGTTGAAGGAGGGGGTCAAAAATTAATGAACGTGAAACGCGGACAGGGAATGACCAGGCTAAACTCAGCAATCAGCAATCAGGATGCGTGTTTCGTGTATGTTCCTTCCAGTTGTTTGGAGTTTGTAATTATGGGTTTCAAGTTAAAACAGTACGTCGATATGATGCTGTTAAAAGAGAATGAATGTGAGGATTAATTAATTTGGGAAAGGGCGGAAATGAGTCGGAGAAGCGGAATTGCCGTCAACAATGGATGGATGCGTGCATGCTTCGGCCTTCTGCCATTTATTTGACGGACCCCTTTTACGCCCAAAATTCTGTGTGTTCTTTTGACCTGGAGTCGTGTTTTCTGAATCGGATCCATACTGGTGTTGTTGTTCCCACCAATTGATATACTCGCCTGCCCACTTGGGCTTTTCATTTGAAGCTGGTGACTGCTGTTCTCAAAACCGATGATGAGCTTTATGACACATGCGTGATGGATCTGTATTCTGGGTCTAGTCCCTAAAGTCTCGGTATGGGGATTTTAGAGGAGAGGACCAGAAGGGGATTCTGTGATTACATTACACTCTAATTAATAAAAGTAGGGCAAAGACCGAAATCAGCTTTGTTGCTATATAACCATGTTTTCGGTATCCAATATACCGCAAACCCGTCGTTCCAGAGCTGCTTTATGGGCTGGGCCTCCTTTGTTCATACAATAATCCATATTCCGTTTTATTGGGCTCTGGCCATTTTTGGTTGGTTCCTTGCATTTTTGTCCACCTTAGTTGCATATTTTTGGGCTGAACTTTCCGGCTTTTGCTGTTTTCCAAGACTTCTGGATCTGTGTGTGTTTTCCCATTTTTGGATCTCATTGTGTTCTCTCCTCTCGGCACAAATCTGGGCCTTCATTGGAATTTAACGTCCCCAGCGCCCCCGGGGGGGGGGGAGCCACTTTCGGGCAAAAAAAAAAAAAAAACAGTCAGACACAACGAGATTTAATACTTTAACTAACCTAACCCAACAAAAGCCTGGCATGTTTAATGTTTCAGCCAAGGGGATACATGTTGTGCGGAGGTAAAAGTAGTCAACTAATAATATAATGCCACATCACCCAGGGTGATCCGCACTCGAGCACGCACGCTCTAATAAACCATAGATCATGTCCTCGTGTTCCTAATCAGCGTAACTTCTCCAAGATCCATACTCACTTAGCTTTAGTAAAGCTTCATATAATTGATCAGTCAAAAACGTTCGGATCATTGGAACTTTATGAATGAGCTTATGGAATTTTGATGACATTTAGTTTATTGTACTGTGATATCGCAAAGAACTTTATGGTTAATGTTGGTTTTGTAATAATTATGTTTGTGTTGGCATGTGTACGTAGCTTCCCAGGATCCCAAATGTCTTCATTGACTTCGAGTATTTATACATTTTCTGAATATATACAGGTTTTGTGACTGAGACATAACAAATGTGAAGCGCCGGAAAAAATAAAATGACCGAAGATTCCTGCAAACACTGTAGGCTCGTAACAAAGAGAAATAAATTTAGATTTTCTAAATATTTTTGTTGATGCTCATTACATTCATACTTAATGCTACCTCCGGTTCTTAATATAAAAGCTCGTTTGATTTTTATTTTGATTCTAAATATAAGACCCTAATTTATTTTGTTTCTCTTTTTTTTTTAAGATAATCATTATAATAATAATAGTTCTGATCAATATACTTGATTAGTAAGGATGTTGTAGGAAAGATAATATCTATTTATTACAAATAACTAACTCAACTAATTTTTTTAATATACTATAATTAGTTAATTAACTCTTATATTAAAGATAGGGAGTAATATGTCAATTGATCTAGATGCAAAGTTTTCACAACCTGGCTGTAGGTTTGAGTAAAGTAGATTTATCTGAAATGGGTTATTAGGAAAAAGTGGCGTTGAGTCCATGAAAGTACGGTCAACTTTTGGGGCAATGCTACGTAAACAGCAAAAGCTACAAAATTTGAAAAATGGATTGTTTTTAGGGAACCACGACCTGAATGTAAGGACCATAGCGGAGGATTTTGGAAGTATATAGAATTCATATACTACCGCAACTCTTTAATGACTCATCACTACAAAAAACTAGTTGACTAATTTGAATGAATTAAAAAATTTGTTAAATTAGTTATTTGTAATAAATCTATATTATTTTCCTTAAAATACTCTTACTAATAATATATATTAGTTAAAACTATCATTTGATAGAATTTTTAACACGTACAACTACTACACGGAATACTTGAAAAAAACAAATAAATTAATATGAAAGATAAAATAAATTAGGGTCTTAAATTTATGATCAAAATTGAAAATAAAATAGCTTTTATATTAAGGATATGAGGTAGTAAGAGAGTCATACAATTCTGATTTCTGCCTCTCTGCTTATATCTCTCCAGATAGACAAGAGACAGTTATATATTTATGTGAAGTGAGACATTCACATGCGGACAAGGTGCGGATGGATGCCATAAACGATGCAAATAGGTAAGAAAGACAGACAAGGGTTCAAGTGGCTAATGGAATGTAATTAGGATAGAAGCATGATTAACATAGGAATTAGTGTGAGGTTGTTTCAAAAGCGCCAGCTCATTCTTAAACAGCAAGTTTGAGCAGCTGATCTGAAAGCCATGAGATCACGTGTTGGCCTCTTTCTCTGTCCTCAAATGGAGGCTTTGATGCCAAGTTTGAGGCTCATCCTTCTCAGCCTTGGATCTCAAGTCTGTTTATGGCCTCTTCCACTTCTTTTGGGGATTCCAACGTACATCCCAAGCTCTCCTCCCTGCAGTTTCACCCCACTCTCCTTCCTTTAACTACTTCCCAAGATTTCTCCTCTTACTTTTATTCTCAAAAGTCGTTTCATCTCCATCGTTCCCCTAAAGCCCTATAATTTGGACTCTCCACATTACTACTGCATACTTCAACATCATCATTTCCTATTGGATCTCTCAACTTGGACCTATCTGTTTATTTATGTCTTGATATCATCACCTTTTATCATTCCTGATTCATAGCAACAGCCGTAAGTCTAGTATCTTTTACTTATTGACCAATTATTTTGCCAGAGTTTCCTTTCTCGTTCCCCTATAACATTTACGCAATCAGAGAACATTCACAAAATCTTGCTAACCATGTTTTTAATTAGATTTGAATTTTAGGCTTTCATGTCAAGCTACCTAATTCCCCTAATCAATTATGAAGGCCATTCGTCCCCCGTACGGGTAGAGTTGAGATGCATGCATATATATATACATTATTCATTAGAATATTAACATATGGATGCGTGGAATGTGACCCTGTAACATCGTGATTCACATCTGTTTCTTTTCAATGGGTGTTAGAAACTTGAAGGTCACACCAACCCTCAATATAAATATATTTAGCTTACTGTTTCGTGTATATGTATAAAAGGAGAAAGGCATCAATTCGCATTATTGGTGACGTAGAACGAGAGCATTAATTAGGGAAGTCAATATTTGGCACGTGGAATTTTTAATTCCATACATGATAATGAATTAATGATAATACAAAGGAGAATGAGTGAATGAGAATATAGTATGTAGCAGCATATATATAAAGATAAAAGAATGAAATGAGGATGAAGGGATGGGAGACGTCAGTGATTGCACGCGGATGCACACAAGTGCGTTATTGGGATTAGTTTGGGGAAAGGAGAGAACCTCTCGAGATAATGAAATGTATGTGGAGTCCAATTAGTCCCTTTCTTCTTTCATTATGAAACCGTTGGATGGTCCCTGTGACCCAACAAACGAGAAGGAAATGTTGAAGAACCCTCCCCTTTCATTTATTATATTCTAATCTCACTTGTTCGTCTCCGTCTCATTCTAAACTCTAAAGCCATACTCTTAATTAATGGATGTGCGTAGGCCCACCCAGTTATCCTGAAGCCACCGACGATAGATCTGGTCTTGGTGACGCCAACTGCAGCAAGAAGCTTACATATAAACCCATTATCTACATCCCCCGAATTTTGTCCCATTGTCGGACATAGACATTCTAATTGTTTGTCGTTGAATATTGACCAACTTTTGAATAGGTCGCACAGATGAGAGGAAATCCGTTTGGATTCCTTTGTACCTGTCGGCGAACACAAACTCATCTCACCTACTTATAATTAGAATGACTCCACGGTTAAAATCAACCAGTATAGGTAGCTAGAATATAATCCAGATAAACATTTGACCCAGTTTTAATCTTCTTTTCTTTTTTTTATTTAAAGAACTAGGCAGCTGGCTAGACAAGTGGAGGGCCTGATAAGGCGTGTTTGGTGAGGAAGAAACAGTTTAATGGGGCGGCAGAGGCACCCAAGGGGTTAAAGGAGACATGATGCGGGCAGAGTATTGGACAAATCGGGGGGTATAAATTCTGAAATTCTGTTTGTAACGATAGTCACAAACATGGCCATACACGCAATCTATCATTTTTTTCTCAAAAAAACTAAGAGAATCCCCACCAACCTCCAAATTGGAATAGACAGGAAGGTAGCAAAAAGCTTCCCCTGTAATATGTTCATGTAGCTTCAGGGATGCTTCTCATTGCTGTGGGGTCTTCGGGCCAAACAAGCCCTATATGCGCCAAAAGAAATCTTACCATCCGTTCACCTTTCTTGACAAGTTTTTTTCATTGTTGGCAAAAGTCCTCCCCGGCTATGAATTGCTAAACACCCATATTCATTTAACCTTGTGCTTTTTACAACTGGAGAAGTTGTTACCGGCTATTATTATTTATAAATCACTTCCCAACGTGGCTATTATCATTATTGCTAATATTCTGTTACAGCCTTCTCCTTTTTCAATTTCCAAATGAGTGATTCTCCTAATTATTAATAATTTTTTCAAGGCTTTGTTTCTAGTCAAAAGCTGCCTACATGTAATGTAGCTCCGACTGGTTCAGAGTGAATTCAACAATATAAATTATTAATACGTCATGCAAACCCCTCAATCATCTAATCAATTTAATCATTTCAAATTTTAAAAAAAAAAACCACTCACATACATGGAGAGACGGCCCACTTCAGACTTGTTTATAATATTTATCCTAAAATAGAATGCCTAAATGAATATTTTTGTAAAAAAAAAGTGCTTGTTGTTTTGTTGGGAAAGTTAATTTCACGTTTTCTCTGTACACTAAAGTAATTGATTTCAAAGCTCTTTATTTGCATATCTTATCATTTTTAGGAATCTTTAATCATAACCTAGTCTTAGAAAATTGAGACCCTTGTCACCTTACGCGTAGTAATGCCGGTCATTAGAATCAAATTATCAATTATCTATCTGAAAAGAGAATAATTAAAGGTAGAGCCCAAGCAACAACTGATGAACAATGTCACCTGCGAGGCCCACACTCTTGTGATTTTCCACCCATGATAACATATTTCAATCGATCATATTTTACATTTCCACGGGAAGGTTCTAAGAAAATGCCTGAACTTGATCGGTGACTGTGTTGTATTCTTCTGACCCTTAAAAAGTCTATTGTTTCTGTTACAAGCTTCATTATAATAGTCCTATAATAAAATAAAGTTTAAGCCATTCCTCATGTAACTAAGAGAATTAATTAATTTAGACCTGGGCCCCTGAGATGGATGGAGAGCACAATTTAATGGAATGATTTCACACACAATGTAGTTTCAGAATTAACGACGTCAAATACACACGTAGACAAGGCAGTCGATGATCATGTATTTTAGGAAAAGACCAAATTGTTTTTGACCCAAGCAAGCTAGTAGATTCCAAATCCGTCCAATGCAAAGTAATTTTTTTGAGCTCTCATGGATCTTTTAGCATGCTTTATGTTATACAGTCGTGGGAGTTCGTTTTCACTTGAAAATTTTACGGGGTGCGTGCGAGTGTCCATTTGGTCCAAAACTCATCCTGCTCTGTTTTCCCCGTCCTTTAAGCGCGCTTATCTTCCTGATTTCTTTTGAATCCTCAGTTCCACCCATTGATTCTATATCTATATCGGCAGGAAAATAAAATAATACTATTTCCGGTTCTTAATATAAGATCTCATTTAATTTTTATTTTTATCCTAAATATAAGACCCCAATCCACTTTGTTTTTCATATTTATGTAATTTTTTTTCAAGATAGTCCTTCTAATAATTATAGTTTTAGCTAACATACTTGATTAGTAAAAATATTTAAAAAAAAATATTTATTTATTATAAATAACTAACTTAACTTATTTTTTTAATATACGTTTACTAGCTGAATCGGTGTTCGTAGTATAAAGTTTGTTGCTTGGTTTCTGGGAAAGCCCTCCAGCGGGCTCCGAACTTTAAATATATATACAGGACCTAATACACGGCTTTATAAAGACATTCCTGTCTACGCCATCCCTTCATAAATTCCTTTTCATAGTCTCTAAGAGTTCGTTCGACTTCCACTTTACTCCGTCCTGGCTTGTTTCACCTTCTTCTTTTTCTGTGTATCTTTCAGTTTATAGTGACTTGACTATCATTCGTCTCATTTAGAGTTTAGGCCGAAAGATATGGCAGGGAAGGTCGGAACCAAGGTGGAGAGTCATCTGGGCTGTGGTTTTGTGGGGAGGCTATCCCTTCTCAGAAGCTATCTGCTGAGAAAATCATCCGTCCATTCACTATCCTTGAAATCTGCCGACAATGTGCAGAGCAAGGAGAGCAAAAAGGATTCCAAGAAGCCTCCAAATCATGAATCCAAGGGCGCGCTAAATCTCCCTACCGACTCCCACAAGCCAGATTCGGATAAGAAGACACCCAGAAAGAGCACCTCCGGTCATCAGAAGAGTCAAAACCGGCGACCTTCAGATGCTGCTAGAAGCTCAACAGCATCCTCTGGTAATTCAACCAATACAAAAAATGACGAGAGCAAATTACCGAGAGATCCCGTCGGAAATTCTCTCGAGCTTGCTAGGATTAGCACTAGTCACTCGCGCGACAACGAGAATAAATCCACGGTTAACTTGAAACTTACAGGGAATTTGCTTGCAAATAACAGCCCCAGAACTAGTGTTATAAAGAAAGGGGAATCCGTTTCCAAGAGTAAAGAGTTGAATTCTGTGACTAATTCTCACACTAACGCCGGAATGGGCAACATCATGAGGAAGAATAGCGATGAACTTGCGCAACTGCGGAAACAGAGGATCCGAGTAGATCCTGAGGTGTTGAAGACCGAGGGAAATGAAGCCTACAAACAGGGGAAATTCGAAGAAGCTTTGAGTCTGTATGACCGAGCCATTCATCTCGATTCAAATAAGGCAACTTATCACTGCAATAAGAGCGCAGCTCTAATGGGCTTAGGCCGCCTTCCAGAAGCATTGGTCGAATGCGAGGAAGCTATTCGCCTGGAACCTTCTTATGTAAGAGCTCACCACCGTTTGGCAGCGATACATCTCAGGTAATCAGAAATGGATATGGAAAGTTACGAATTTAGAGTATGGTTTCTGTTTAGTTTCCTTATAGACCTGAAAATCTTAATGCAGACTGGGAGAAGCAGAAAAGGCGATCCACTGCAATAATTCAACTCCATATGCGGATGCCGTACTCGCAATCCAAGCTCAGGCTCTTCAAAATCACCTGAAAAAGTGCCTTGAAGCTCGGAAAGTGAATGAGTGGAAGACTATACTAAAGGAAACACAACCTGCAATATCATTATGTGCTAATTCAGCTCCGCAGGTTAGTATCCTTGGTCTCCCTTTATTTATTTTTTATCAGTTTCCTCATGATATTTACTGATTTTAAAATGGTTATATTCGCCAGGTCTATGCTCTACGAACAGAAGCCTTGCTGAAGCTCCTGAAGCATGAAGAGGCTTCTTCTACCTACGAAAAAATGCCCAAATTTGAACTTGAGTGGTGTATTAAGACTTTTGGCTTGCCGCTTACTGCATACTTGTCGGCAGTAGGCGCTCAAGTTCACTTGGCAGCCGGCAGGTTAGTCAAATACTTCATATAAAGCAGGCTACTTAGTTCCAGTATTTTAGATAAATTACTACATGATTTGTTCATAATACCGATACCGATTCTTTGTAAAAGTAACGGTTAAAGAGTCTTCTTATAGCAGCATCACTCATCCTAATTCTATCCACATGAGCAGGTTCGACAATGCTGTGACGGCTGCTCAGCAAGCAGCTGAACTTGATCCAACCAACAAAGAGATGAATGCAGTGGTAAGAAGGACGAGGGCAGTGAGGTCAGCGAGAATGAGTGGAAATTTACTGTTCAAGGCTTCGAAGTTTATGGAAGCATGTGGGGTTTACAATGAAGGGCTAGAACATGATCCATTCAACTCAGTGCTGCTATGCAACAGAGCAGCATGCCGTTCTAAGCTCGGTCAATTCGAGAAAGCAATCGAAGATTGTAACGCAGCCCTTGCAATTCAGCCTTATTACAGCAAGGCAAGGCTACGGAGGGCAGATTGCAATGCTAAGGTAAGTTGGTTTCTTATTTGTGTTGATTTTAATTTCTTATAGTAAATACTCGTTTAGAGATAGTAATTCTTACAGTACTGTCCTTTTTTTCATTGGATTTAGTTGGAAAGATGGGGAGCTGCCATTCAAGACTACGAAATGCTGATGAGAGAAAAGCCAGGGGATGAGGAGGTGGCAAGGGCTTTGTTTGAGGCCCAACTTCAACTCAAGATGCTGCGAGGAGAAGATATTAAAGACTTGAAATTCGGTTCCAATTTGGTTTTCATCTCAAGCAATGATCGCTTTAGACATTATGTGACGTTGCCTGGTAAGTCCCCTTTAGTTGTCATGACTCCGATGCAGGTTTACTTGAAGAGGAATTCTGTATTGCAAATAACGTTAACTGTTTGTTTAATATGAACAGGTATGTCCGTGGTTCTGTTTTGCAACAAGGCAACCCACAGGCAAGTTTTGCTGGTATTGGAGCAAACATGCAAGAGATTTCCATCTGTTAATTTCCTCAAGGTTGGTTGTCCTCCACTTGTTGAAGGTTTATACTTCAGTAAGTTTCTCTTTTTCGTATTGTTTCAGTAATATATTAGCAAAACCACAGGTGGAGATTGAGGACCATCCCTACTTGGCAAAATCAGAAGGCGTGAGCTCTGTCCCGGCCTTCCGAATATACAAGAATGGATCAAGGGTCAAGGAGATTCCAGGCAACAAACACGAGTTGTTAGAAAGATCGGTTAAACTGTATACTAGCTGAGTATAAATTTCAGTCCTCGGGTAAGAACTTATATGCTGCGCTTGAGGAAGAAGGTTTGACTTTGGAAAACGAAAGGGAGCGCGATGACGTCCAGCAATGGGAAAATAAGTTATGACTAATTGTATCTACTTCATATATTTGCCGACACTGCTCACAAGGCGGAGGAAACCCTGAAGAAGCAGAGCGTCAATGTAGCCATAGGACACGTGAAAAAGGATTTCATTGTGTGATTAGTTGATTCTTTGAATCCTTTAGGAGTTTTGTGCAACCCTTTGTTCTTCATATCCTGTATTTCACAGTGGTTTGGCATCCCTAAATATCTACGAATGTTGGGTCAACGTAAAAGGGAAGAAGACAGATTGTTTCAGCTGCCGGAATAGGTTTGTTGATTGGTTTCTTGATATCTCAAAGGTATCACTTGCTGTTCAAAGCCATCACTGCAATTATGTAAAGCTGCAACAGCTAGGACCAATACTTCATTTGTTTCAAAAAGAAAGTGAAGTCAGTAATATAGATAAATATTTGTATCTGTAGTAATCAAATAGGAAAGATTAAAGAAATATGAACGTGTGTTTTCAGTTTTCAGTTTTCAGTTTACTTACTCATTAGTTCAAAGATCATTTTTAATCCCCCCGCCCAAAAAAATTGCTAGCTAACGAAACAGTTTTAATTCTCATTGCAATGATGACCTCATTGTTGCGGTAAAATCAACACTATTCAAATACAATTTTAAATCTCTATATTTAAAACTTCCAACTAACATTTTTTAAATAAAAATTATTTTTTAAAAAACTTACTATTAAAAAATTATATTTATTTTGGATTATCAAACTATTAAAGAAAATCAATTTTTTTAAAAACAAAAATATAAACAATTAAAATCTCAACTATTAATATTAAATCTGAATAGTTAAAATTTGATAAATATTATGATGCTTGTTATTGTAATAAGCACCCAAATTGTTCTCGAAAAATGTGGTAGGTGGATTCACAAAAAATCCTTCATTTTCGTCAAAGTACTGTTGTTTATTTCACGAGGGAGCTAGATTTTTTTGTATTTTCGAGCATTTTCTCGTTTTTAAGCGAAGAGGTGCATTTTTTAAAAGGTGCAAATTTATTGCTTAAATGTCGGGTCACCCTCAAGATTAATAACTTTATTTATTTTTTTAATATGGTAATTATATATGTTAAATGTTTTATCAAATGGTAATTCTACTTAATATATATGATTACAAAAATATTTTAAAAAAGACAATATCTATTTATTACAAATAACTAATTTTATTAATCTATCCAAATTAGTTAAGCACTCCTCTGGTTCTAAATATAAAAACCCTTTCGTAGTGTAAATTACACTACAAAAAATATCTTATATTTAGGATCGAAAGAGCAGTGAGAAGTAGATGTAATACTTAGATATAATGTAGCGCCACCCCTCTAGAATGAGATGAATTGCAGAGAACACAGATTACGCATTGTGCGGTTAAACAGGTAGGGGTGGGTAACGGCGTGATTAGTCCAACAACGGTGGCATATTAATGATTAACCATATGGGCGGTCAACGTAATAAAGATAAATGACATAACTATCGTGATCAATCAACACAATAATGGAGAGGAAGGACATGAACGTCAGGCTGAGCTTATGCTCCTCTCCAAATCAATGTTATTGGAGGGGAAAAATTGAACTGTGAACGACGAGAGGATAAATTAACAGTAATTCCATGCAGTGGGTGCATGGAATAACTGTGATACCCTCAAACAGTGCTGAGAGGAGTAGGGTTTCAATCATTTGTATCAAAGACCATGGGCTGCCATTTCATGCACAGCATTAGTGCTCTGTTTTGACTTTGACGAGCACCAAAAAGTGCTGGGTTCATTCACGAGGAGATTCCCAGATCACCCGAGGACAAGCACTGATGCATGATGCATGCGCAGAACACTTTCTTCACAGGTTTGACAATTGACATAAAGCTTGTAAGATTAGAGTAGACTCTACTGGGAGCCTTAGGAAGGAATCTACTGGTCCTTGACCTTGGGTTAACTTAACTACATTGTAAGCCTAATAAAAAAAATATAGTGCTTTGTGATATTGGAGGTGGGGCGTAGGGAGTCCCAGTCGGAGTCCAAAGCCAACATTTTTATGAACCCCATTTCGTATCACACTCAAAAGCCCACCAGGAAAAAAACAAGAGGTGAGCTGGACGACTGGAGGGGCTTGGACACCTCTAAATTTGGAGTATTAGAGACAAGAACAAGGGCAGCATCATTCAGAAGCCAGCAAGTTCCAATGTACGAAGGGAAAAAGGAACATTACTAAATGGGCTCATAATAATATCAAACAGAATAGGGTCGCCTAACAGTGAAGACACCCTAAAACAGAGGCAGTTTCCGCTGGATTGACTGAACTGGGATCCTGTCAGGCCTGGGGCCTCCATTCAGATGTCATTGATGGGTAAAGTGGTGTTCTCTACGAGAATGACACAACCCAACTGGCTTATCACGCTTCCACCTCTGCTCGAGCTCTTGGTTTTTTGTTTTTGTCTTCACATTTTCGTTTCCTGTCCCTGCCAAAGCTCATGCATCTTATCCGGCTCTATATTGGAGGAGCATGGATTCCTACAATCTGAAGATTCTCAAATTAAGATGCAAGAATGTAAAGGTCGCGAGAATACGAAAAACTAAGCTACACGCACATGTTTGGAGTATATATTTTCCTATCTTATTTTGTCGCTTTCCTTCTTCTTGTACGCATACAGGATCCCGTTTCGTCCATGTCTTGGTTCCTCTCTGCAGTCTTTGTGCGTCTCAAACTTCTCATTTCTTTTTCTAGTTTCAAGCAAGGCCAATGAACCAATGGCGCTTTGCCCTTGCGACTTTTTTTTTTTTTGGCATTTTAAAAACACCTAAACGCAGACCGCAAGAGGCATTTAAGAGCCTCCCCTGTCAGAATGACATTTCCAAATTAGCAACATCGCTGTCAAGTTTTGTTGAACGTTGCTAATAATCAATTAATCGAATATCACTTTTTGTTTCAAAAGTGACTTCTGGCAGCCAGAGTCGGCTCGAAACGACTTCCTTTTTACTGTAATAAGCAGCATTATAATTATCAATAGCTGACTTTTTGATACCAATATTTCATCATGAAGTAATTGAATTTGAATAACTTCTAGCATATGAATATTACGAGGTTCAACATTGGTTTTATCTTTGTGCTTTTTTTTTTTTTGGGTGGGGGGCGGAAGGGCCGACGTTGCAAAGTACCCATCTCAAACTCAATACCGATGTCTGAGACTTAAACACAACTAATTTCATACTCAGCAATAACGTGGATAATGGCGGGCATAATGCGAAGTTGCGAACATGACTAACAAAATTGTACCTTTCTGGTGAAGGACAGGTTTATTGTGAGGCTCATAAATATGTTAATTAGTCATTTAGATGGTAACTTTATGTTATTTAGTGATTCTCCCTTAAAATTTGATAAATATAATAATCAGTACACCTTATTATTATTGCTTTTTATGGTTTTTTTCATTTAATAAGGGAGCCAATGGCCCGATATCACTAATCTTTTCTGGAAGAAACAGAACGAGGAAAAGAAGATCACATATTCGTTCGAATTCATAATAACTCGGTTACAAAACAGAGTACACAACTTCATACACGTAATTGCCAAAGCAAAATCTTGGGAAAAGAAATTAAAAAGCTGTACAGGTTTTATGCATTTAACTATCAACTAATATTGAGTATAACCGAAAACGCTAATACTCCGAACTAATTATTAGCTTTCCCAGTGGTCACACCAACGTAGTTTCGGGATGGGAAAGGCACAAACCTCGTCATAGTTGGAAATCAAAGTTAATGACTTCAAAAGAAAAGAGTGTGTCTGAAGTAAGAAGTGGATCATCATCTTTTCCAACTCCGACTCTTTGACAACGGATCGCTTAGTCCCCCAACAATCCATGTCTCTTGGGCAATATCCGATGAAATTTCGTAAAAATCAGAGTCATACTTCATCACTACCAAATTCTCTTTCTTTCTCTTCTCTTCGTCCATTAATGACTTCAAACTCCTCCCTTTCTTTAGCTCTACTTTCTCTTTATCTACTTTTTCATCACTGGCTTTCTCTTTCTCTGGTTCGGCACTTTTTCCTTCTTGGTTCTCTTGCAACCAGCTTTTTGCCGGAGCCGACCTACAGCGCATGAGCAACAGTGCATTCGGTGGAGGGACAGTGGGCTCGGCCTCTGATCCATCATCCCCCACCTTACCTTTCTGCTTCTCGTCTTCTCCGTGAAACCCAGTATTTTGATTCTCTTGCAACACCATAAACCATTTAGAAAAGACGGTTCTTGAAGCTTCTTTCTCGCCTTCATCCATACGCACTTGATTTCCTCCATACCCATCGTCTTCATCCTCTTCTTCGTCCTGAGAGGTGGCGTCCGTCTCGGGGAACGAACCAAAGCATCGCAAGTCGAACCGTATGCTTCGCAGACAAGTCAAGAACTGCATTATCTCCTTCTTGAAACCAAAAGAGTCGGCCCAGCCGGATCGCTTCCTCTGTTTTCTGTTATTGTGAATTTTCTCTATTTCTTCCATCACCGACTGCCAGCTCCTGCAAGCAGCGGTTTTCGGCCTGACCTTGATCTGACCAGCACAAGTGACTTTCGGAGAGGTTGGTTCGGCAATCTCCGAGCCCATAGACTTGGTTTTGGTCCAAAGCATGGGGCTAGCTTGACCACCACCACCACCTCTGGTGCTTGATTTCTTAAGGTGGTGGCCGAGGTGGCGTTTGGTGGAATCAGAAGGCCTGGCGGGGCTGCAAATGGGCTTGGGCATGAGAGTCAGATGAGCTCGAGAAGGGAAACATACTAAGAGATCTGCTGAAGGAGCATGCTTGGCCTCTCTTGCCTTCATGTTGAGTTGAGGATGATATTTTTGTGTAGAGAATACGGAGGGGGTGGCACCTCAGATCTTGCGCTGTGCTGAAAATCTTGAGGAGGATGTATCTTGGGGGGATTTAGGAAATGTTGAGGTTAATGAAAGGAAAAAGGTAAGCAGCGAAGCAGTGACAGCTTTCCTACGCTGGTAGCCTTTATCTAGGCGTTCTCTTCATTGAATCACCGGTCACAGTGGTTTCTGGTCCCCACGGTTTGAAATTGGGGTCACCAGAGAACATGTTGCTGCTTAGTCTACTGGCCTACTTTATTTGATATCCTGTGTTAGTGCTTCACAATAGCGTTTATAATACGAGGGAAAGTTAAGAGCCCATGAGGTGGCTTCATGATCCAATGATGGCCTCACCTTGTGAGCCCATGCCACATGTTACTAAATACTTTTCTTACACGATGCTCATTACTCATATCATATCACACACACACACACACACACACACACACACACGTATACACGGTGCCGTGTGAACACACGTACATTTGCCTTCTGTCTCAACTACCGAACCGACCCGTTTGTTTCTAATTTCTATGGAACCCACTGACTTTCTCGCGAGGGAATTTAAAGAAAGAAAAAGCTCAGTGTGGCCTCTGCCGAATATTGAAAGTGGGGTTGGCCGATCCTTCTCATTTGCATGGTCCCCTGCGTCTGCATTAATGCTTCGGCCAGGTTTTTTCTCAATGTCAACCGATTCATTCTTGTTCCTCCCTACAGGTTAGGTCTGGTGGTTTCAGGTAGAAAACTAACTACCAAAGTCACCAACTGCTGCAACAGCGTTGCTCTACGACACGTGCCAATAAAGGAAACTTCTCATTTGTAATCCACGATTGGGGGGGGGGGGGACAAAAACAAAAGGAGGAGGAAAGTTCTCAATTAAACCCATGAAAATGATTTATGTCAGTAAAATTTAACCAGGAATTTAGAGCTTCTTTGACTCTTCTGAATCTCGTTAGCTTTAGTTAAATTCCAGTAAATACGTAAAGAATGCCAAAAATATCAAATCGAACACTTAATATCTTAAAATATTGGGTCAGGAGGATGAATAAATAAACACATACACCTAATTACCTGCGGTTCTTTCGATTTTTTTTTTTTTGAAGAAAGAAAAACTCGTCAGAGCGACTACTCATCATGCGTGCCTCTTTTTTTTTTTTTTTTATCACACACTAATTCGTTGGGGGAAAAAAAGTGCGGATATGACATTAATTCTAAGGATTACGTAGCTAGGATGCTTGCTGGGGTTAATTAGCGAAATCATTCACAAAACTGTTGGTGATCCATCAATCATGCCTGTTGACTAGTGGTCGGTTTGATCAAATTTGATTTGAACAGTCACAGTGTTTATTGCTCCAAGGTCATAATCATGGTGCTTAGATCTTGGAATCAAATGGTGCCTACATTAGTGAAATCACTCATACAAATTGATTCCTTGTGCCACGGATGGCTTCTCTCCATATTTCACTCGTGCGCACAAATGTTAATATTTATATGTGATCTGACTATCCTGTTTGGCATTGCACCTGTTTACTCTTATTTATTCAAACAGAAAAAAAAAACTCAAGATTTACTCATATATCAAATTTTTAATAGCAGTTTCAGATAAATTTATTGATATAATTATTTTTTTCTCAAAAACAATTTTATGAAAGAATCCCACAAAAACAAGTTTGAAATCACTAAATTCTAAATAAGAAAATTCTACAAAAATGTGTTATTATTTACAGGTTTATTATTATCAAAACTCATTAAAGTGTTACTCCTCCGGTCCTTATTATAAGACCCAATTTGACTTTTTATTTGGTCCTAATTATAAGACCCAATCCATTTTCTCTCTTATATTTATGCATTTTTTTCCAAGATAATCCTTCTAATAATGATAGTTTTAGCCAATATACTTAATTAGCAAGGATATTTTAGGAATAACAACACTTATTTATTATAAATAACCAACTTAACTTACTTCCTTAATCTCCTCAAATAAGTCAATTGGGTCTTATAATTAGGACCGGAGGAGTATTACTAAACTTAACTTGAGATCTAGTATTTTCAAACTTTTTTGATCATGTGTGTATTTTGAGCCGCTTCGTAGGAAAAAAAAGGGTAGTACCACTACAAGTCAGAACTACTATTGGGTAGTGTAGTTATGTAGGTAATATATATAGTTGCTGTGAGGTGTGAAAGGAAAATTTTGAGCCCGCTAAAGTGAGAGTTGCTGAAATATTTTGAAGTAAGAATAATAGTATTTTGAGTCAAATATGCAAATTTCATTTTCGATGCATATAAAGATAAACATAAAAGACTAATACTTTGCATTAGATTAAATCACAGGAAAAAGGGACAACCCCCGAAAGTGAAGAAGGCATGATTAAGGAGGTGGGTTTTCCACTTGAGAGCTGGAGAAACATGGACCCCTCTGCCTATTATGATCATGCACTACCCTCTCTTTCTCTCTCTTATGTGTGTGTGAATCGCTTTATTATATTATAATTTTCTAGATATGTTATGTTCTCCCTCTCGGTCCTATCCTTCAAATATTCCCTCATCTTTTCTCATCATTATATCGCCTCCAATACTAATAACACACGGTTTCCGCTTCTTTTCATTCGCCTCATGCCTATTCTTTTACCCACTTCCTGCCTCCTTTGCCTTTTTCAATCCATATGGGAATTTGGTTGCCAAAATTCCTTTCATATCGCCCTACTCAAAGGTAAGTCAATTTTGTTTTAACTTTTCATGTGTCGGCTACAGATCAAAGTAATGCTGGGAGAAAAATTTCAAAGGCATCACACTTGTCGTAGCTTTACACCCATTTAGAATCCAAAGAATAGAAATGAAGCACTTGCCTTCCAAAACACAGAGAAGACAAATTAAAGATACTCAAGTAGCGAGAGTAAAAGGTTGTCCCAGTAAAAAGGGATATTGCGTATCTGCAGCATCGCACACATTGACAAAGTTACAGTTGCAATTAAAAAGAAGGAAATAGTTGCAGCAGGAGCAGTGGAGGCATATATATTAATAATATTAACATGAAGGTTACGAAGCCTCATCCCTTTTAGTGTTACTATACCAAATTAAATACTTGCCAAGGGATGCTTTAATTTGTGGAACATGATTAAAAAGGCGTACACGCAGAGCTGGCTGCTGGCCCCTCCTGGTTAAGAAAGGAAGCTTGTGGCCCAAGCAACCCTGCCTTCTTTGCTCCACCGTAATACTAAATCATCGCTGAGACTAGTGGGGCTGACCGCAGATGCTGAAGCTACTTCTAGTTAATAAAGCAGAAACCAAGGAAACAAAATCAGCCTTCCATTTGCTTCAATATCTTATCCTCAATGCTTTTACTTTACAAGACCTCAACAATTATCAGCCATGCCAACATGCTTGGAACGCCCCACTTCTTTATTACTTGTTTCTGCTTCTCACTATTATTAGCCTATTTATTTCACCTGCACATATAATTTATAAAACCAAGAAAAAAGGCAGCTAACATTTCATGAACTTCTGAGGCATTTATCGGAGTAAGTTTGCGTCAAGATTGATGCGCACGCTCGGTGGTTTTGTGTTAGGCCGCGATGATTATTACATTATGGTTGCTTTCGAGGATGGGCAAATGACACTGGAATTATTTTTGATAAGATCCACCTCTCACTACAAGAGATTGTAGAAGTAGCAGCGGAACCTTTCTAGCGGTTAAACAAAACCGCTAGAAATTTCAGATATTTCTAGCAGTTCCTACAAAAACCGCTAGAAATTTCAGATATTTCTAGCGGTTCCTACAAAAACCGCTGCAAAATACAGACGGTTTGACCATTAAACGCACATTTCTAGCGGTTACCCCCTAACCGCTAGAAAATTAGAGCTAGAAAACTCCCCGGGCTTTGGCGGGAACTTGGCGCCAAATTTGTAGCGTTACTTTCTAGCGGTTCAGGCTAATAAACCGCTAGACACCGAAAAATTCTAGCGGTTGATGCATGAAGCGCTAGAAATTTTTTTCATTCCCCGAGGAGTTTAGAAATTTCTAGCGGTTCGGCCGTGAACCGCTAGAAAGTCTGGCGGTTCGGGCCTGAACCGCCAGACTTTCTAGCTGTTCTAGGCTTGAACCGCTAGAGATTTCTAGCGGTTCGGCCGTGAACCGCTAGAAAGTCTCGCGGTTCAGGCACGAACCGCCAGACTTTCTAGCGGTTCACGGCCGAACCGCTAGAAATCTCTAGCGGTTCAGGCCTAGAACCGCTAGAAATTCCCAACGGTCACATGACCGTTGGGAATTTCTAGCGGTTAGGCACAAAACCGCTAGAATTTCTAGCGGTTTTGTGCCTAACCGCTAGAAAGTCTCGGTCTATATATACCCCCCCACACTCTCACTTCTTCAATCGTTCTGGAAGCGAAGCTCTGCTGAATTTTCTTCACAAACATATTTGAGTTCTGATTCAGTTGCAGATCCTTATTTTTAGGTAAAAATAGTAATTTATTGATAAATAATTTTTATTTTATGTTTTATTTTATTAATTTTATTATGTTATAGCTTATAAATTAATTTTTTTATTTCATTTATAAATAATTACTATTTGTTGTTATTAGGATGCCTCGTCGACATGGGAAAGACCCAGTTGATCCTGAGAGAGCTGGACCCAGTGAGGTTCATCATGATGCTGATGAGCCATTTCCCAGCATTCATGACTACGATCTGAGCGAGGAGGATATCCTCAGTTTTATGGAGCAGGATGGTATTGAGCGGACTGAGGAGGCTCATTTTACTGGGGATGAGCAACCCCATGCTGATGCTGCTGACGAGGAGGAGGAGGAGGAGGAGGAGCAGGATCAGGGGAATGAGTATCCCCAGGCTGCACAGCGTCCTGCTCCGAGACGTCAGGCTGGTTATGAGGTGGAATTTGTCGGTAAGTATTTATTTTAACTTTTTAAAGTTTTGATCAGTATTTAATTTATATAGAAATTATATTAATTTATTGATATATAATTTATTTCTTAATTAAATTTTGTAGACACTGAGGGGAACAGGTCCTATCGGAGGCTGACAGCCAGAGAGCTGTCTATGATGACGGGCGGACGAGTGGTTGTGCCGCTCAATGAGTTGGGCCAACCGACGAAGAAAGGTGGCCAGTTGTACAACAAGTACGTGCGCCTCCTTGGTCAGCAGTGGACGCTGTTCCCCATCTACGTGCAGGACT